GGGAGGGGCCTCACGAGTCTTGTGACTTTCTGAGCTTCCGGACTCTTGCAAGTTTGCCTTGCCTTGTAAATTTCATTGGCTTCCTGAGTCTTATGAACTCCACCCCCCCCCACAGGAAAGAATGTTTAATTTAAAGGCAATAGTTGCACAACCGATTAACTTTGATTTGATAAGAACTTTATATCATCCTTTCTAACAGGGGTGTGGGGGAGGCTCTTACAATTGGTTGAAGGTCTGAACAGGAAGAGAAAGCTCCATGCTAGCAGGACATGTAGGCAATTACAGAAAACACCAACTTTTTGTTATTTTGTTATTCAGGATGCTATAACTTAAATAAGTTATTATTCCTGACATTAAGTGACTATTCAGTAAACATTTGGGGGGCATTAAGAAACCTTTATGTATCTAGCTTACTACTGATCTGTTGGGTAGACATGATTTAGACTCCACCCCATGAACTTCTGTACTGCCCAAAATCAAGGCAAATCCTAAACTTTAGCTCAAGTGCAAATCTAATAAGATAATTTAGAAATATACTTTGAAAACCACTGTTTGAGTTTATGCCTATGCCCAAGCCCTGGAGTTGGGTTGATAGAGGTAAAAACCAAGCATCTCCCATGTGACCTTGACACTGACTTACTGCCTGCACCTCAGTTTATTGGTGAAATGAAGACAGAGCCTGCCTCACTGGGGGCATATGACATCTGAGATGCTCTGACTTGGAATACTGGCTGGCAGGATGCCATGCACATCAGCTAGAATTACATGGCGAAAGTGATCTCTGGACAGCATCTTTAAGCATGTCTCTCCACTTCTTTTTCTTTTCCCTGGCTCTCAGGGGCATCCTGGGATCCAGGTTCATAGCCTTAAAGAAGTTAAGTTTTCCCTACCAAGAAGATGACCCTGCCAGGCGCCCCCACCCTTGAGTTCAGGAAGTCTGAGCACCATTTTTTCCAGGAGAGGAAGAAGGGGGTGTTTGTTAGTTCTATCTGAGCTTCTACGAGAGCAGCTGGCAGGGAAGGCTGCAACTGGCCAGAGGGCAGGATGGGAGTCACCGAGTAACATTCTGAGACTGAGGCTGAAACAGGAGCTTGAGGTAGGCTTTTCTAACCTGCATGCATGGTAGCTGAGGCGGAGAGAGGGTGAGAGACAGAATCAGGTTTCAACTAAAGACAAAACCCACCAAGGTGAAGAGGAGGCAGAAGTACTAGGCTAGAGGGAAGCGTATCTGCAGTATTCAATCTCTGGCCTTGCTGCTCTTATTCTCTAGATCAGAAAGCCCAAAGAAGGAGCAGATCCTCAGAAGGGCTCATTCTGCTCTGCGTTTTGGGACTCTATGGAGAATATGTCAGTCACTTTTTTTTTTTTAATTGCTACAACAAGATACTGAACAAGAAGTAGTTTAAGGTAAGAAAGGTTAATTCTGGCTTATAGTTCCAGGGAATGCTTTCTAGCATAGAAAGGCATTGAACCAGGAACAGGAGACTAGTTGATTACAGGAAATGCACTCCATAAAGTCTCAAGCTCCGCCTCTAGTACTAGATACTAGAGTATCTAGATACTAGATACTCTAGTTTGCCCGCCTTTCACTTGATCACCAGATTTTATTGACCTTTGACTTGAGCTGGTTCTTGAGCCTCCAGGCCTTTGAACTGGAACCGTCCCATGGACCCCTCTTGGTCTCTAGACTGCCAACTGTGGAACATGGGACTTGTCAGCCACAATCATTTCAGCCTGTTCCGTATACTAAGTGACTATTGATTGGTTTCTCTGTGTCTGTTTAATGGTTTGAATATGAGCTGTCACCCATGAGCCCATGTGTTGAACACTTGGTCCTGAGTTGGTGGCACTATTTTGGGAGGTAGTGGAAACTTTGGGAGGTGGGGATCCGCTGCAGTAAGTATGTCACTGAGACATGCCTTTGAATGTTGTATGTGGTTCTCATCTGCCCCCTCCCTGTTTCCTGTCTGCCATTGGATAGAGAAACTCCTCCATCTTTTCCTCCTACATCGGTTCTGCCCAAGTGCCTGGGGCCAAGCATCTGTAGACTGAACCCTTTGAAACCATGAGAAGAATAAGTTCTTTCTCCTTCAATTGTTTATGAAAGGTATTTTGTTCCAATTACATTGAAACTACCACAGCACTTAAAACAGGAACAAAATACCTGCCACATACACTGTCTGTATTGATGTAGAAAAACATATCTTTCCTATCTATCAATCTTGTCTATCTATCTATCTATCTATCTATCTATCTATCTATCTATCTATCT